GCACCGCGACCTCTAGTCGTTGACGCCGCCTCAATCGCTGGGCGTCTCTCGAGGACCTCAAACCAACTGCGTAGCTCTGCCGCCAACGGCAAAGCCTGGAAGGCTTCTGCACATCGTGTCGTCATGGGCCTCACCTGCGGCCGCTAGCGCCCCCGGGCGACTACAGAAGAGCAAGACGAGCCCCCGCGCCGCCGCCTGCGCAGCCACGGCCCGGTGAACGAATGAAGGAGATGGAGATTGCTAGTCTCTATGTATGCAACCTCTTTGTAACATCAAGATCCCGCGAAACACGTCCATATATATATTCAAAAGTTCTTACCAGCTCACCCCGCACGGGACCTGTTAGTGTATCAATAGTCTGAAAGTCTGGCGACAACAGGACGTCCATGCGTGAATACGGTCGCTTCGAGTGGATTATCGGCGCCACGTAAATTAGCTACCTGGGTCCCGAGCGAGCAGCGCAGCTAGAAAAGATCGTGGGCGCAGCTGTTGCGCAACCGCTCAAGTCGGTGCGCTTGGCGCGTACAAAACGACCACCTGAAACGATCATGTCCAGAATAAGGTGGCCAATCACATCGTCTCGCGCTTTGTCGAGAAGATTGCAACACCCGTCGTCCGTCGATCGCACGCGCTGCCCTCGTCCTGCTTGCTGCAGGTCGGCTACGAGACACTGGGTGGTACTGCTCGTATGAGGCAGCAGTCGTGCAATGCATGTGCTTCGTACTCTTATGGGTGCACTAGTGGGTAGAAGCGTGCAGAGGAGGTCGAGCGCACGGTTGAGGCAGCCACCGGAGGAGACGATGAAACGACGATGCGAGAAAGCACTACAGTGTACCTTGCTTGGCCGAGTACTTGGTGTTTGTATCAACGGACCGCGGGCAGTACCAAGAGTCGCCCTGGAGCTCGCTTCCAAAGCACTTTTAGCACCATGGCCGCGATGCCCCAAGCTATGGCGGGTGCGCCGCGCTTCAGTCCCGCTATGATGAGCGCGCTGAAAAAGATTCAGGGCGTCTTCGAGCCCCTCCCCATCGAGCACTTGGTTACGCTCTATAGTAATACGCCTGGCGGGTGTTCGCCGGCCATCAAGACCACGCTCGAATCTGCCGGCTTGACGGTCGACGAAGAAGAGGCCATGGCGTTCATCTTTGGCGCTGGCTACCGACAAGCCAAGCAAACGTAAGCAGCGACATCGTATCTGTTCGCAATAGGTTCATGCGTGTCCTCCTCTAGTGTCTTCGAGATGCGCAAAAGCTCCATCCTCGCGACGCGGTGTGTCGCATGTTGATGTCGCTCATGACGCATGTATACGTAGGCCCACGACACCCTCATGCCACCAGCCTTTATTTTGACCCACTTCATTCTGTCGCCGGGCACCAAGAAGGCGCCGCGGCTGCCGGACGGGTACAAGGGCCCGTACTACATGTATTTTGTCGACCACCTGACACGTCACCCGGCGATCTACGGAGAGCCGATCAAGGTCAAGATGGCGTCGCTCACGGGCACGCTGCTCTATGGTTTGATCACGTACGCCGAGGTCGGGCTCGAGTGGGCCGGCGCACTCAACAACGCGGTGCTCTTGACCCCGTTCGGGTCGCTCGACGTCGCTGCTGTCGCGACGGCCGGGCTCGAGACGACCAAGTTTGCGCTGCAGCAGTTCAAGTCCGTCGCGACGGGGCTTACGCAAGAAGACGTCAAGGCGGGCAGTGCCGCCTTTCGCGAATTTGTTTGCGAGGCGGACCCGAAGAACGTGTTTGGCGGGTTGAAGCGCTACGCCCTCGTCGACGGCCCCGTCGTCTGGTGCCTCGAGGCGTCGATGAAGGCGTACCGCGAGCTGCTTGTCACCGAGCTCAAGAACCGGTATCCTATCCGCGACAACAACAACGACGACGACGACAACAACAACGACAACAACAACAACGACGACGACGACGACGACGACGACGACGACAACGTCAACCCATGAAGACGTGCGGGCTGGACGCCAAGACGATGACCCTCAAGATGAGTTGTTGTGTCGATGTTGTGCATGGTTTATCTTAATGGAAAGCTATCTTTATGCGACATCTCCCTCGTTTTTCTACACTAGACACCATTGTAATAGACTATCGATTCAGCAGTGTCCTGGGCAAGAGTGCTATGCAGCTGGACCCGCTAAATCGACTCTCGTGAGCCATGGATCTTGCGCGCCAAGGCACTTGACTACCGGTAGGAACATAATAAATACGATGGGAATGAAACCGAACGCTAGCACCAAGGCATCGCCTTCGGACGTAGTAACCCCAAATAGGCCGCTGATCTAAGAAGAAGCGCCGTTCGAATGAGCATCATGCAATTGCCGCATGACGTCGAAAAGACGGTAAATGGCGGAGAAAAGACGGTAATTTGATGACAGGGCTGGCTGTCTTTTTCCAATTCAAGTCGACGACGAGGCACGTCTTACTACGTGGGAAGCAGGCGACCTCCATCGGCACCAAGGTGGTCGACGAGGTGCATCAGCATTATTTTGACTCGAGCAATTGTACAGTAGTACGTCTCACCTGACCTCCTTGAAGGTGGGTCTTTAACGTCTTTAGCCGCCACGGCGGCATTGCGTTTTATTACACGACGCATCCTATTTTTGGCGTTAAAGTACGCGGTCAAGGGTAAAATGGTGCGCCAAGCGCACATGGAGAGCGGCAGCGGGAAGCGCGAGCCGGATGGGCATGACGGTGGCCCGCCCGCCAAGCGCGCCAAGGACGTGAGCGCGCTTTCTAATGACGCAGTCCTTGCCGAGGACGACGCCGAAGATCGGAAGCGGCGCGCCATGGCACAGAGCCGCGGCGACGGCCGTCCGTGAGGTAGGTCCTAGC